TTTCCTCATTTGGGCTTGCGGGCGCAACTATCACTCGTCGTCTACACCGGAGGTCGGTTTGGGTGGGCTCCGCCCTGCTTGCACGGCGGGAGTCTTTTCGCCCCCAGCGTTGCAGACCTCCGATTTTGGGGATTTTTGTCGACATCACCCGCGTCGGTTGGATGCTCCGACGGAATCAACGATTGCCTGCGAGAATTCTCGGCGGTCCCCGGGGGTCTTCATCGTCTTTCCTGTTCTCGCATCTTCAGGGCCTGCTTCCTCATTGACTTGTGATGCGTCCCGCGTGATGTCTCCTGCCGCGTCTTTGGCGACTAGATATGTGCACGTTTTGTCTTCGCTTCCGGAGCAGGGACCGCTCATTTCTTCACGGACTCGGGCCAAAACTGCCGCTGTTTCCGGAGGCACCGTCACCGGTCACGCTTACTTCGGACGCCAGCCGCGAGCTACCATCGTCCCTCGGACATCGTCACCTGCCCGTCGCTCTAGCAGGTCCCGCTCGACAAACAAGACCACCCCCACCGCCGCGAGTCTGCTGCAGCCATCCGCAACGCCGGCATCGGCGTTTTCGTCGACTGCTCTTGCACCACCGGTGTCTTCGCCGTCAGCGGCGCGCCCTGCATTCCCGACTTCGCCTTCTCTACAGGTTTCGCCCGGGACTTCGCCACTCACGATGTCCCCTTCGCGGACATCACCACGGACTGCCGCTGCCCCAGTCGCTGAGGCTTCGCCTTCTTCAGCCTCTTCCGTTGGATCGCCTGATCTTTTTTCGGAATCTTCTGCTCTGGACACCTGCCACTTGCGGGCCTGTGTTCAGAGTTTCAGCACTGTGGACTGGGCTAGGGAACAACAGCGGGAGAGCGAGTGTGTGGTGGCTTTGCGTTTTTTGTCTCGGGGTTCTCCCTCCCCACCCCCTCCGGACTTGCTCACTCTCCGTGCTTCTCTTCGTCAACCAATACATGACCAAATGGGGATGTCCGACTATTACGTTATTGTCAGTAAACGGGCTGCATTTCTGCTCGAAGCTCTCCATGGCGATCTACGAGGTGATGAAGATCAAGAAGGTCACCACCAGCTCCTACCACCCACAGACCAACGGCGGCACGGAACGTGTCAACCACACGATGGCCTAGATGCTTGCGGTGGTCGTCAACGAACAGCAAAACGATTGGGACGTACATCTCCCGCACGTTGAGTTTGCCTACGACAATTCCGTGAACCAGTCTACTGGATTAGCGCCAAACGAGATCCACATCGGACGCATCCCGCGACTCCCGCTTTCGGTCTTCGATCATCCCACGGTAGGTGGTCATCAAATCTTGGTCCGCAATCAACTCGAGTATTGCAACCTGGCTGTCGATCGCCAGCGCCGGGCCTACGAACTTGTCCGTGAGTACAACACCCTGAAGATTTCGCGAGTCGAACGCCGCAATTCATCCCTGCTGGACGCCATTCACAAGCTCCCGCAGTTGACCATTGGCGAGTGGGCTTGGGTGTACAACACGGCTGCTACAATTCGACAGGGTGTGCAGAAGGACACGGACCAACAGGTGCTCAAGACCAAATTCACGCTTTCCTGGACGGGGCCCTACAAAGTTCTTGCGGTGGGTCCCACCTCTGCCGACGCCACTCCGGAGGGCCGCTCGTTGGCGCGTAAACTCCTCTACCTGGACCTGCCTTCCGATCTTTCCGGCCCGGCAGCTCGTTGTCGCGTGTCTGTCCTTCGTTGCAAGCCCTGTCGCAATCCGTACGAGACGGACGACTTGCCGCAATCTCTACCTGCCGAGCTTTCGCGTTATGTTCTGCACTCTTTCGGAGATAAATGTCCACCTTTCCACGTCACCGCGGATGATGTGTCGGTGCCTGTCGGGCGCCTCGAGGTCGACTATATCTCGGGACATCAACTGGTGCGGGACCGTAGCGGCGTTCTCGCTGTCCTGTACCCGACGTATTGGGTAGGCCTGACTACTCCTTCATTGGAACGGGAATCCGACCTTGATCTATTCCGTCGACACATCTTCCTGTACTGGTCCCGGGAGGCCTGCCAAAGCAAGCAGGGTAACCGTACATATCGAGTGGCTCGGACTCGCGCGGCACAGCGGGAGCTAGCTCGGAATCGTGGAGAACGCTATTTGCCTCCTGGGGCTGATCTTGTGCTTAACGCGACTTGGCTTCGCCGTTTCAGCACTTCGCCCCTCCCTGTTGGCGCGCGGCTATGGTACAGGGCCCGTGATGGATTGTGGTGGACCGGACGTATTGGTGCTCATCAGGGCGGCTCGTACATCGTTCGATTTTTGGATGACCCGGGCCCAAGCGTTCTGCCTCTGCCTGCGCATCTCTACTCCACCGCCTTGGACGCCGTCTGTGGATCATGGTGTTTAGAGAAACATCGTTCGCGCCCTCTGGGCGACAACCGTGGTCGCACTCCGCTCCTTACTGACTCCTTACCGTCGGCTGTTCCCACCATTTCTTCTTAGCATCGTCGTTTTCACATACCAATCGGCCTATTCTGGTCTTTTGTGCCATCCTTCTCGCCGACGTTTTGATGTTGTTATTTTTTCTGTCACCTTCCGTTTTGATTTGTTTTGATTTGTTTTGTTTTTCTGTCTTGTCTCTTTTCTTTCGTTGACTTATTTTTTGTTTTGGACGCTGGGGCAACGCCGCCTCAAGACACGCAGTGTCGAGTGATCCTTCTTCCTTGTTGCCT